AGGGCCCCAGGGCAGCCAGAACGCATAACTTCCAGGCAGGGCTGCAGCTGCCACTGCTGCAGCTGCTGGGGGACCTGCTTGGCTTCCCTGGCCTCAGGTGACTCCTCCTCATGTCTCTGTTTTAGTACTCACTCCAGGCAGCAGGTAGGGAAGTGGCAGCATGTGGGAGGAAGCTGCAGTTGGGAGGGAGCGTGGGGCTGGGGCTGGCGGGAGCATGGAGCCTATGGCCCGCACCCAGCAGGGCAGTGGGAGTGTGGAGCCCAGTTCAGCCCGGTTCCATCACACAGGACTTCCCTTGGCTCATGTGCAGCTCCCAGGACTCACGCATCACCAGTGGGGAAGCCCCGTGCAATGCAGCTGACTGCCTTCCCTGCTCCCTGCCACCATGTGCAGCTCCCAGGGCTCTGCTGGAAGTGGCAGGGAACCCTGCTCTCTGCTTTCCAGTGGAGTCCCAGGAGCTGCATGTGATGACAAGGAGTGGGGCCAAGCCGCTGGCTGCACTGTGTGGGGCTTCCCCTCAGTGGCATGCAAGTCCAGAGAGCTGCACATGAGCCACAGGGAGCCCTGTGTGGTAGAGGCAGGCTAGGCTGGCTCTGCTCCTTGCTGCCACATGTAGCTCCCAGAACCGGCTGGAGTCACATGCTGCCAAGCGGCTGCGCCTGTGCAGGCTATGAGCCACCATGAGGTCCTGAACAGCTGTGCGCCATGTGGAAGGGCATGTGGGGGGTCCCCACATCCCCCCCACCCTCCCTCACACCCACAACCACACCCACACTTAGCCCACAGTCCCTCCACAGCCCATCACGCATACACATATCTACACCCCTCACACACACGGCCACACCCCCCCATAACCCACTCACACATCTCACCATACACACCCACCTCTGCCAATCACACCCCACATTCTCCTCTCACACAATATACAAAAGTAAGAATTTATTTTTGGTTTATTATGCGATCACCTATACATATACTATGCACACGTAAATCAGGACAAAAATATTTTTTTAAATAAAATTAAAATATGTTATATTAAATGTTTGACTTTTACTATATGGTTAGGTTTTTTCAGTTCTAAGATGGCACCCGCCCCCCAAAGGAGTACTTCCAGGGGCAAGGGCAGGGACTTCAGGTGGCACAGGTCAGGGGTTAGGGGCAGGACTTCTGGTCCCAAGATGGTGACTAGTGGGTGGGGCACCTATCAAGGGGCAGGGCTACTATTGTGGCTCTTGACAGCTCACCAAAACTCATTAGACCACCCTCCAGCTGAAATAATTGCCCACCCCTGGCATAGAAGGATAAATTTGTAATGAGAAGTTTATCAGTATTGTTTTCTTATTATGAGAGGTCCGATATGGGATCGGCACTGATATAAAGCAAGTAGACTATATTGGAAATCAGCCTGATGTGGCCAGTAATTTACAGCAGCAACACGCAGGCAGTGAGGGGCGTAATCCAGCATGTTGAAGAGTTGCCTGCAGCTGGGAAATCTGTTGTGGTAGAAGGGGCATGGGGGAGCATATCAATGCCCCTGTGGTGAGGGAGGGAGTGGGGCTGGGGCTGGGGCAGGCACTGCACACTCAGGGCAGGGCAGACACAGGATAGAGCTGCAGCTCATCCAGAGGAGGGGGGTGTGGCTCCTGCCACTGCGCACACCCTTAGAAGGAAGAGGGGGGGCATGTGCCCCTGGATCTGCGCAGGGCAGGGTGAGCTGTAGCTGGGGCCAGGGGCTATGTTGGGTTCTTCCCAATGGGGGAGAAGGGGGGACTGGGCTGCACTCCACTGCACTGCACTTGGGGTGGGTGGTGGTGGTGGTGCTGGAAGGAGGGCTATGGGGGGGGCCTACAGTGAAATTTGGGGTCACTGCACCTCCTCTGTAGCCCCAAGCACAGTGTGGCCCAGCCCCACCCACCCCTTCCCACTGGGAGGAGCCTGTTCAGCCCTTGACCCCAGCCTGCAGCTGCATCCTGCCCCGCCCCGCCCTGTGAAGATCTGTGGGCACATTCCCCTCCCCCCCCCCCGTGCCC